CTTGAGCCCAGGAGTTGGAGGTTGCTGTGAGCTATGATGCCACAGCACTCTACCTAGGGGGACAGCTTGAGGCTCTGTCTCAAAAAGAAAAAACAAAAAACTGCTATTACCTAAGTACTTAATAACATCATCAGTACCTGAGTAAGGAACTAAATGTCATCACTGACCTGTTGGTGATATCTTCTTGTTTTTCCTTGGCTTCCTCATATTTATCAGCTAAGCGCTCAGCCATTTCCCGCAGACTTTTCCTAATGGCATAAGAAACAACAGACCTTATGGTGAGATGTAATTCAATCTTACTGACCCATTGGTTTCTTCTTTCTGGTTTTTATACTTACCGCTCCTCTCGACAATAACTGAGATCTTCTAGTTGTTTCTTTTTTTGGTCACATAATAATTTGACTCTTTAAGAAAAAACAGAAATAGAGTTTAATCAGAAACTAGGTCTAGGTTAGACAACATCAGCTACCAGCCAGGGACTACGGTTTGTCCCTGGACAAACAGTGGACATCTTACCTTCGCTGAATCTCCTCCTTTGCCAGGTCCTGTTTAAGAATGTACTGTTCTCTAAAGACCTGGGTGGCTCTGCTGATGAGCTGAAGACATTCTTCAGGAGGAGGGGCTGTATCCTTTTCAGATGATCTTAAAAACAAAATTTCTAATTTCATTTTCCTTAGCTGAGTAAAACAACTGAAAATACACAAGTCATAGCTGCTTTTTGGTCTTTTTTTGTTTGTTTATCATTCTTTTCTCCCTCAATTCACTAGCTGATTCAAAATACCCTGTTTTTCTCCCAGCTCCACCACAGTAAAAAGCATAGGACACAGCTGAGGACAAAAAAGACACACAGTAATTATGATTGAGAAGAGAAGTCCATCTCAAAGCCTCAATTCCCCAAATCTCATACTTTAGAAAAGCTGGATTGGCAACACTCCGTTGCAAAATGCTTCTAATATGCTTTTCAAAGGAATCTGGGGTTTCAGCCAGAATGCGGAGGGGAGACTCTGTCACTTCAACATCTTCTTGGGTACAGAGCAGGGGAGGAGATGCTGGATGGACTGTACTTCTGTAAAATAGATAGATAAATCAAAGCCTACCATAAAATGATTTATTATAAGTATTATAGGAAAGCATAAATCACATTAATCTAGAACTTTGAGAACATAAGAACCTATAATAAAGTGTTACTTTTATTTTA